TGGAGTCAGTCCACACATGATGCTGACGGGACACGAGAAGTATTTGCCCTTGACATTCTTCTACCCAGAGTATGAGGGAAAGAAAACATCCCCACAGGTCTACGTGAGGGATGTGATCAGACGCCAACAGGAGTTGGACGACTTGTGTAGACGAAACACTCAGCAGGCACAGGCAAGGCAGAGGAAAAGATTCGACAAGAAAGCAGCTGGTGCAAAGGCTTACTCGGTGGGAGACTACGTATGGGTATTTCAGAACGTTATACCACCGAAAGGGACAAAAAAGCTTCTGAAGAAGTGGAGGGGACCCTTCATGATTACAGAGGTGCACCAAGAGGGACGCTTTTATAGACTGAGTACTGGCCGAGCCGCCCACTACGAGAACATCAAGCCACACAATCCATCGACAGAAGACTGGTGTATACCTGCAGACATGGAAGAAGGGGATTATCTAATGATGGATCCTGCTTGTGAGGTCAATGAAAAAGGCACCAGGGAGAAGAACGATGGAAACGAAGTCGTAGAGGAAGGTACGGATACACCATTGGACCTGGATCCAAACGAACAGATCGAAGCGGACAATGAAACCTTGCCCTACGCAGAGGAAGATTGGCAGGATTCCGAACAGACAGAGGTTCCCAAGAACATGGAACCAGATCTTCCGTTCACGATGCAGACTCGTCAGAAAGACGGGACGAGACTAAGAAAGAAATACAATCCTTACGGTGACGACTTTGTAGTGGATAGGATAGATCTAAAGAAAATAGTGGAGGAAGTAGTGGGTTTAGAGGAAATAACCGTGTCACAGGACATTGACATAGTCGATGATCACAACGATGAGTGGGTTGACGACTGGTCAAAACCCGAGGTGGAGTTCGACGATGAGCAACAGCAGTCAAATGAACAAGACCTGACGAACCTGCGTGTCTTAGAGTGGCTGAACGACATGACATCAGACCCTGAAAAGACCAGCGTTACGATTCAAGACGTAGATCGCGAAAGCGCGAAATACATTAAGACCGAACGAGATGATCCTTCCTGGGCTGCCCAGGAAGGACAACTTCTCATTCCAGCTTCTAATCTTGACTTAATACCCGGTATGCGATCGACGGGGACGCCGATGGATATTTTTGTCCGGGGAGTGGGGGTAGGACTTACCCACACTGAAAACTTGATAATAAAAAAATTGAGAATAGCAAGAGAAACAGGAAACTTAGAAGCAGAAACAGGTGAAGAACCTAAGAAACCTGACATAGGCAGGGTAGTTGAGTCATATTTTAATTTACCAAATGAATATTCGAGTAACATAGTACTAACAGATAGTGATTTCATACTCACAAACAGAACATGTGCGATAGCAATCACCGCAGACATGAGTTTTAGGACGGCGCTAGCGGCAGATTTTAAGAGGGAATACAAAAACGTGGAATTCCTTTGGAAGCAAAGACCAGGGATAGGGGGCGTAGCAGCCTTACCCCCGGCGGTGTCGCAGATACCGGGAAAGTACTTATGCTTCTTGGTAACGAGGGCGACAGAGAAGCAGCACGTGGATCCAGAAAACCTAGTCTTGTCTTTGACGAGGCTGAGGGACTTCCTTGTGGAAATGGACGTGAAGGAGCTTTCGCTTCCAGTGTACGATCCAAATAGAGGAAGACTGCATCCTCGGGAATTGTACGCGCTTGTACACGTGATATTCTCTGATACGAGCATACAAGTGTATCTACATAAGAAATATTACTTAAGTATAGGCTGAGTGATGTGCGAGAGGGTGTTAGGCCAAAGACCAAGCTGCATGTAATAGGTGATATGTGTGTTATGTTACGTTATGTTATGTTATGTGTTAGGTTATTAAGATCATGGGCAAGTAGGGGTTAGTGACCATGAAAAACTAAAAGACGATCTTGGGAATAGATCTAAAGTTTGGACTGTCCAATCTTAGGTCGAATTCCAAAATTTTAGAGACCAATTGATTTTAATAAATTTTAGGATAAATATCTTTTTATCTGAACTGTCTTTAAGCAAATTTTAACGATGTATGTTAAGGTGAAATTGACAGGTGTGACATTCGTGATTTCTTTTCTAGATCCTGATTGATCATTTAATTGCTCACTTGAGTCAAAACTTGAAATCGAAATCAAGTCAATACTAGGAAAGAAGTTCATGGGATATGTGAGCGGGAACTTCAGTGACTTTGAAAAACAGAAACAGAGAGGATCAACTGTCACAGATTACAATGCAGTAGATGAGAATGATGAGATCCACCGAGTGATGATGGAAGTGGAGCCATTGCTGGAAGCTTCGGGAAAACGGAATTGGAGGAGCATCATGTTGACACATGACGAGTTTCCTTGCCACTGCTTGCTGCAGACCTGGTGGTATCCCAAGCGTAGTAATCTGGTGTTGATCTGGGACTCTGGAGAGCTGCTCTCCATGGGTTTACCAGATTCATCACAGCCTATAACAATGGTTATAGTGGGAGTTATGATGGCGATACGATGGCTGGAAGCTCATGTGAGAGAAAATAATAGACAGGAGGCACCGACGAGAGAACAATTGCAGAAATTAGATTGTCTAAAAGATTTAGATCTTTTTGAGACAATGTGCAAAGTTCTAAACATTCCGATGGAAGTGAAGAAGATATGGGCAAGAAAACGATTGATGCCATGGTTCAGAGCTAACATGACTGCATGGTTGTACGAGTATGCGAAAAAGCATATGTCGAAACATGGCAGAGTGTACAGTGAATATCAGCTGGACATTGGGGCAGGAACTTTCAAGCGAGCTTTCGTGACCCATCGGAATGCAGTGACCACCGCTGTGAAAAGAATTTCCAGGACGAGCGAGCGTAGTGGAAATGAGAGGGCAGAGATGCTGAAAGAAGATTTGGAGAGAAACGTGACGTTGTGTCTCCACAACAGCTTCTGTAGAAACAGAGAATCAAACGTGGATCCCCTACCTTGCTGTAAACAGAGGGTGGAAGAGCAGAAGTGTTGGAGGACGGCTTCCAACAGCGTCAGGATAGTCAATGACGTGCTACAAGACACGGAGACCGAGAGTGCAGAGTCAGCGTCACAGGAGGAGGAAATGGAGCATTGATGAATGGTCGAGAAAACAAGAGGCAAAAAGAAGGAAAATTAGAAGAATTTAGAAGTTTTAGAACTTCTAAACGACAAAAAAAAAAGAGAACAAAGGGATGATGAGGAAAAGTTAAAACTCAGAATTGTTTTATGTGTGTGAAAAACTCAAGTGAGAAACCAAGCAACCAAGTTGTAATTGAAAACTGAAACATTTAAGTTGAGTTTGGAAATTGTTGCATTTATAAATTTGCATTTTGGTTTTAGTTGAAGTGGCTTTAGAGACACTCACTTATTATTTATTTAGAAAGGCTTGAGGGAAGAGTATATTTAAATATTCCAGCCTGCATGATTGTTTTTAATCACTTAGGAAGACTGATCACTTTGTGGTGACATGAAAAACTTGAGTAACTTCTTGAGGAGGGAGGTTGTTGCATTGTTCTTTCTAACCACAAGGTCTCTTGGTTTTAATACTCAGGACAATAGACAAGCAAGATTTCCGAAGGGAAGGAGCATAGTAGGATAATTTTAGCTTGTTGGTTGGCAGGACTGTCCTGCAAGCCAACACCTTTTAAATCTAGGAGAAAAAGTTTCAATCGGGATATTGACACTGGAAGTCAGAAAATATGTTTTATCTTAAGTCATATCCTCAATGTGCAGATTAATGAAAGAATTTGAAGGCTATAGTGATGTAGTATGATGCCATTTATATTCTGCAGTGAGTCGATGTGACGTAGGTAAAAGTAATTTCGTGCATTTTGTAAATTCTGTTCGATGACACTGTAACCATTTAGAACATTGTGCGATTCAATGAGGACATTGACCGGACTGTCCGGGGAGTATGTGACATTCGACCAGAATGGCCAAAATGCAGTCTCTGCAGAATTCAGGATTTTAGCAGTGAACCTTCCGGATTGGCGATTTAGATCGGATAAGGACGTTATTTGAATGATTGGCCAAACGGTGAAGGCTAGAAGATTCTGGAATTCTAAATTTTAAATTTTCGAAGTGATGACGTAACATTTCTGAGAAATGTTAAAACGGCCATTTTGGCTAAAATAGCAGAAAGAAACAGAACAACTTTATCTGCGATTACGAACAGTACGAAAATCGAGACTAAAAAACAACAACGAACTACCGAACAGCAGAGGACGTTCCGAGTTGCAACTATTGTGCTGTTACAATAGTTGCAAGGCCGTTGCGAACAACGGTGAAGGGTAAAAACCAGCCCTCCGAGTTAGCGTGAACCTGAGGTTAAGGAGCTTGATTCAGCGGATTCAAGAATCCGGAAGGGTCTCGGGACGGGAACTTTTATGAACTTGTATTGAATTTTAGCATCCTGTCATGTCCTGACTTGAATTTAACTGATATTTTGATTAGTTTTGACAAGGATGAGGTGCTAGGAGTTGGGGGAAAGGGTTGATCCATCTTCGATGGAGATGATGATTTTTATCTACTGAACAAAAACAATAGTAATATAATAAGTAGTAGCCCTGTTTTTAGGAGTGACCTCGTGGTCTGGGGATACTGAGACCAGCCATGAGCTCACTAATTTTGCATGTAATTCAGTTAATTTGAGCGTTCTGGTCGAAGCCGGAGAACAGTAACGTTTTTGTCAGCCTGATGTAGGAAAGACCACCGAAAAGTACTGGCTTGGTAGAGACGGTGAAAAACATGCAAAGCTCTGTTTAGACGCTAGCCAGTCGTCTTAAGACTTAGTTTTGTTATC